TAAAAGTTACAGTTTAAAAATTTTTAATTAATCAAACATTTATAATTATTACATTAGTAGAAACCTTCTCTTTTATTCTGCTATATATATTATAGCTAAAAGATGTGCGTGCGTTATGAATTGGCCTTAATAACCAAAATTTCGAACCCGTAGTTGTGTAAAGAAGGCTTTCTTTATATTATATATAAAGTTTTATTGTGACGGTTTTTAATGTTGATTCTTTTTAAGACTTGGCTTTATTATCGTTAGATGTTCTAATCAAAAAAGTCATGTGTTTGTTACGAATTGGTTTGATAGCCGAAAATTTAAAATCGTAATTGCGTTAAAAAGTAATTTTTATTATAAACTTGATTACTTAGTACGTATATGAAATACCCCAACGCGACATGCATTATGTTCGAATATATATTTGGAAAGGTGAATTCCTAATTTCTGGAAGAAGGTACAAACCTTTGGAAAATTGTTAGCTGTTGGAGGTATCTTCATCACTGGGTTCTTGACCATTGTGAGTCCAATATTGATTAAAAAATATATACGTAGCCAGTACGATTTTGAGCTGAAAGCAGTGTAAAAAATTTGATGCGCGCACATAAAATTTTCTTATTTTAATATGAAGCAAGCATGTAATCATATGAGTGCGCACCTACTTTTCAAACTGAATTTTTTACACTGTTGAAAAGAATGATATGCGGATGCTTCATATCTATCTGAATAAATGTACTTTCTTGTTATCCTGATCCTGACTCACGATACCACGATGAGTTTTTTTTTGCATTATTATTATTATTATTATTTTGGGCGGGTCAATAAAAGTGGGTCAGGTTGGTCAAGAACAATGTTTTTGCATCATATATTATTTTATTAATTTAGTATAAGATTTTTGAGCATTGAAGTCCTAAATATTTACTATTAACTCTCATTTAATTTTATTCATGTTAATTGTATAGGGATATGATCCATTGTCTGTTTTCCCGAATTCTTCATAATAACTTGGTTATAAATTAAAATAGTGGATATCCGGATCGCATCTCTAGTTGACGATGTCGAAGTTTACTTTTAAATCTTTTAAATATAATTCTATTCATCATTTGCTTTTAATTGGAAAAGAATTTTAATAATTTAATGTATTTTTTTTAAAACTACTTTTAATGTATTTATTCCTGTTCAATGCAATGTATTAATAAATAACGAGAACACTCAAATTTCATATTATATACAAAAATCTGATAAAAAGCTTTATATTAAAAAGACACCCAAATATATATGGAATATAGCAATGGGATTGCAATTATACCGGTATACAGTAATAGAAAAGGTAGTATAATACCAGTTATAATACTGTATTAATATGGTTCGGAAGGAAACCTTCGGATACAATTTAATTGGCTCTTACTATTGGTATTGGTATTATACCTATCTGCTATACCCATACTGGTACGACAATAGGCGATTTTAATCACATGATAACCAACCGATATATATATTTCTGTATTTTTCGCGTGATTTCTTTCATTTATTGTAAAAGAATTTTAATCCATGTTTTCTGAAGCTAAGTATTAAAACTGATTTCTTTTTACGAATACACGCGTCTCTATTGTTGCACGTTTACTGCCGGGTATTATCTGGAGTTCAACACGAAAGGGTAGTTTGCCTGGTCGGACAGCTTGATGCCTTCGGGCAGATTGGACGCTGGAGATAGCGCTTCAGAGTATACGTGCAAATATCCATGTTCAACACATGCGTAAGAAAAGAGGTTGCGGAATGAGTCAACTTTTGGGAGTGGTGTCTGTTTGTTTGTCGCAGGATGCTACCACTCTACCTGATCGCTCAACCCGTAAAGGTGGCTAGGGTCAATGTCAAAGGTTGCCTGCGAACGTCATGTGCTCAACTACATGATTGCGATGGATTAACCTGACCCGGACGGGGGCTAATAAGAAAATATGTTAATATGATCTATTTGTTCGGTTAACTAATCAAGACCTCTTCTTGCAAAGAATAGATATTGCAACGGGGTAAAAGTGACACTTCCAAAGATCATAACAAGAAGGCTTAAATAATCGTCTGATAAAAATCATCTATTAAACATCATGACATAGAATCTCTATATAAATGAGAGGTAAGTCATGTTAAGTCTTAATAGTCCTTTAACAGTTATAAAAAGGACGTAACTTGGGTAAGGTTGGTTACGACTCTTATGTGCGAGGTAGTGGCACATAAGCTCACTAACCCGATAATAATTTACAGTAGATTAAGAAAAATCCAACCCGCTGACCGAAATTTTGAGATGCCAGGTTATGAAAAACGAAAATTCAACTTTGCTTGGCCTAACATTTTTTATACCCAAAGGTATCAGTTACCTGGAAACGTCAGGTGACATCATTTAATCAAACATTATTTGATTAAATTAACTTATTAGATCACAGAATATTTAAGAATTATTGGTGACACTCTGCTTGAATTACTATGCAAAGACGTGAAAGTAAGCGTAAAGACTATTGTAAGAAAGTTATACCGTCATACATTTAATTAATATTTTACTTTAGAAAAGAAAAAGGAAGACCAGCAAACCACTAAAAGATTTTCAGATTGCAGCTAATAATGATATTGAAATCCGAAAGTTTGCTGAATACATCAGTAGTTATGTAAGTATATATACCGAGATGTTATTTTATTGTTTATTTTTTGTAGAAAATAAATAACGAAATGAATGATTTCTGGATGTGTCCTAATGAAAGACAACCGAAAAGATTTGGCAAAAAACTTCAGAACGCAGGAAGCGCAACAGAATCATGGTCCGATGAAAAAAATTATGATAAGAATGATGACGATGATGAGAGTAGGGAAGATGAATGAAGAAGGATAAGAAGTGGTATTTGTCTTCAGGAAAATGCGTCGAGGACGAGCTGTATGCCTTCGGGATTAGATGCAGATTTGAGCAGTATGTAAAAATCTATTCATTATAAAGACATTCCTAATTTTGACTATTTAATTCATTTTCAGTAATATTTTTCTAGTCTTGCACATTCTTTCATCATCGATCCTGATGATGAGACTTATATATAACTCCGTCACGTAAAGTTACATAAGCTGTAAATAACCTGTTCCCAGAAATCCCCAAATCTCATCACGTCCCCGTCAAATGTGGCATGTGTAACTTTACAAATGAAAGATTGATTAAGCTCTGTGATTTATTCATGGAGCATAAATACAACGAAGGGAATTCGCATTATTAATCTACAAAATGAGGTCAAAAAAATGGTGTTTCTTGACTAGAAAGCTAAGGTTGGTATTGATATTTGCTATTCTGCTATTATATTTACTGTAAAAAATTATTTAACATCAAAAAAATAAAATACCTTAGACTATCGTTTGTAAAACGATTAACTTCGTTGAACAAACATGTGATGATGACATATTGGAAAATTTACAAGAATCAGGTACTTGCAAGCAAAAGAACTTAACTATTATTCCTAATTGTGTAATGACACCATTAAAAAAACGGGAAATGAATACCTAATATACTTAATGATAAACTTTTTTGAATTTGCAATATTTGTCTGAGTAATAAATATTATTCCGACCTACATTTAAAAAAATAAGTTTACCATTATTAACATCGCGTGTATGCATGTTGTACTGTATATCTGTGTTAGGTGGCCTTGAGCATTTGTTTTTTGCTCCGCAATATTTTACGTGTATCAAAATTTATGCCACATTACTTGTAGTGTATATTAATTATGTAATTTTTAATCATTAGTATATTGGTGTGCTGACAGTGCTGACATACTATAGATGCAGACAAAGGTAACCATCTCTTCAAAATTGGGTTTACTAATTTCCCCCACCACTTCCCATTGGACGAATACAAATATCATTTTCCATTGGATGAAACCAATTACATCATTGAT